GCTGCAGTTAACAAAGGTGAGAAAATCACTGAGTACTGTGGAAACAGAGTTGAACATAGCACTGTTGCAAATCACACTCCTAATATCTGATGCCCCAAAGGATTGTTCAAATTGGAAGAGACCCTATCCCCATTCGTTATTTAGCTCGTCAAAGTCATGCTGTTGTGGAGAGCAGTAGCATTCAGTATTGAAGTACCCTTGTGTAAAGCACAACCTGATCTTTTAAGAAACTATAATTGTTTTTTGTTTTTCCCCAAATGTCTTTTCACAGCACATAAGCAGTAGAAGGCACAAAGACAGAGCTGCTGGGAAGCCACCTAAACCTAAATACAGCCCTTACAACAAACTCCAAAAGGGAACACATCCTCTAGGGGTAAGACAATCACCTTTTTATTTTACTTTTATCTTAACTCTGCTGATTAGGATTTTTAGAAAACATAAGTGGAAAAATGTTTAAAATGAGAGGAATAGTATAAGCAATAAGAGTATGCAAGTGTCCAAATGACCCCATGAAAACCCACAAGGGACTTCTTATGTCATTTGGTGGGTGTTGACTGTAATCTGTGGGTCCTCATTTTTGCAGCTCCTCTGAATAACCTCAGAATAGAAGCTTGTTTCAAAGGTTGTTGGAGAGCAAGAGATAAAAAGAATATCTAGATATCAAATGGGATTTTTCCAGTTTTCACCAAGGAAAAAAGTGACGAAATTTCTAAATAAAATTCTATAAAATATAAAACTTTATTTTAGCCTTATTTAGAAGATTATTTGGATAACAATTGAAACTGTTATTAAAATCCACCTCTCATTTCATTCCACTCAGTTTCAGGATGGTTCTGGTCACGTTTTCAACTGCCAGGATAAATGGTCTGAAACACAGTTCTAGCTAGCTTCATAAGCTGAGAAAAAGGTTCACTTTTCAATAAAAATCCCTCTTAGGATCCTGCCATTAGTTAAGAAACAACTTATATTGGGGGTAGGATAGTGAAACATCTCACATTTATCTCCATCAGATAAACAACATGATTGCTTTATGTGGTGTGATATTTTCTGGGGGTTTATAGATGATTTTGGCAGAAGGAGGATGTTGATTCCTTGGCCTCATAGAGATTAGACCCTTATGCCTTCTATGGAATATGAAATATGGATCTTTTTCCTGTGAAATTCTCTTTTGGTTGAGTTAAAGCTCTTTCTCTCCGAAACAGAAAGTATGTCCTTGCTGGGGCAGCCCTCAGGAGTAGTATATTTGTGCATGATTCAGTTGAGTTGGAGCTTTCCTAGATGATGTAGCATAATGTAGTGCACTGTTCTGATAAATCCACCAGCAGGGAAATAGCTCCACAGGGTTTTTCGGTAAACCACCAGGAAGACCAAGGTCTGCAATACATGGAAGCCATAGTGAAAGGAATAGAAAATATGTAATGAGGTAAGTAGGAAGTGGAGTCACTAAAGCCTCTCTGACAGGATTATTATTCCTTTAGGAAATTAATTATTTCCCAGGATTTGAAAATAGCTATCACATTACTGTGCTGTTGTTCACCTTTCACTGTTTACCAATTTATATAATGGTGATTTCCAAGAACTCCAGCCAAGAATCAAGGCCTTTTAGTTGCTACATACACAAATAAAGACAACATGTCCTTTTCCTGCTCCCTCACTCTCAGTTGCTCACAATGTAAAAGTCAGGCCAGAAGTGAGCAAAGGGGCAAAGAAGAATTGTAGAGAGAATGAGTTAGCAATACATGAACAGATATGTATAGTAGAACAGAGGCTGCAATGAGAAAGAGGGAGAGCAGTCCCCCGTTTAGTATTTTTGGTTCTGAATATAAAAAATACCAAAATTGCTGTCCCTTGAAATCCACAATAGCACATCAACAAGTCTAAAATGTGATGATTTTATATTACATGTAAATATTTTTTACAAGCTCTGGACTTTTTCTTTACTTCCTCTTAGTTTTTCAAGTCATTTACTGTCCCTTAGTTTACTGCATTTGAAATGAAATGAATAATGCCTACTTTGCTCTTAATGTTGACCTCTGTTAACTAGTAGAATCATAGAATCATTTAGGTTGGAAGGGACCTCCAAGATCATCAAGTCCAACCATTGAGCTATTAGGGCTCTAAGACACAAGGTACTGTATATGCTAAATAGTACTAGTTTTGCAGGTATCTTGAAAGAAGAATCCTGTTGATAAATTAACTGAAAAACAATCTAAGTTCATTAGAAGTTCCTGATTCCTTCAAGAATGGCAAGGAAGCCTAGCCTTTTAATATAAACAGTCACCTAAGATCTTTGTTCTTCATGACAATAAACTGTATGAGCATCATCTTTTTCTTTTTTTCTGCACAAGTTAAAAAAAGGATAAACTACATTTTCAGATCCTTTCTTGACCAAAAGTTTTCTAATGACATTTTTCAATATCATTTGTACTGCTCTGACTAGTTTAGTTTTGCATGTTTCAGAGAAAGAAATTTTATGAATTCCACAGTACTTTTTCAGAGTTTAAAAAAACCTTTTCATGTTGGGACTTACTTGATATTTCTTCAAGCCATAAATGTCCAGCATGTATAAAATACTGCACTGGAGAGAAAGAGGTTATTGGGCATTTGATAGTCCAAACTTTCTGCAATAAAATAAGCTCTTAGGAAAAACATCCTTCACTGGGAATTCTTGACCACAATCAGAGCCCTGTTGCTTTGGGCTGGCTTTTTTTTTTTTTTTTCCTTCACTTTTACTCTTTTTGTTTGTTTGGTTTGGTTTCTTGAGAGGTTTTTTGGTTTGTTTGTTTGTTTGTTTTTTTCTGGTCTGCTCTAAAAAGGCTGAAAAAGTACTGAAAAATGTAAGGAAAGAGGAAAAAGCCAAATGCTCAGCAAGTGAAGAAGACAGCTTGGATCAGTGGGTGTAACACTGATCAAGGAAAAGATCAGATCATTGGTTTTCATAGGTATGATGGGGAATTCTGTATCTAGCATCAATTATATTCTCTTTTAAGTGAGTTACAGAATCTGGTGTCCTCTGAGTATCTGTCCCAGAGATTTAAAGTAACTTAAGGTCAGCAGAGTTTGCAATGGGTATTAGATAAAATAAAAATCCTGTATCCATCTGAAATCCAACAGATTTTTTTCATATGGTGATATTGCAAGGATGAAACTCACTGGTGGTTCATGCCAGAGTACTCCTGTCCTTATTTTATGACTATTCACTGACCAATGTACTGTTAAGTTGAAAATATCAGACTAATATAGTGCAAGTTAATTATTTGAAAACCCCTTTAAATTCAAGGATGAGAAATTATGTTACCATGGAGTAAGAAGTGTCCATATTTCCACTGGGATTTACCACAGCGTGGTACATATATTCATGTTCTGTATATTTACTACCACCTCTTCAGGTTTATATTCTTTGCAAAAGGCATCAGGTCATGCCAGGACACACCCCCACCAAAAGTCTGTCAGAGTCAATAGGAACCTTTCATTATCCAAGAATCAAAGTTTGAATAAAGGTTTTGTTTGTTTCTATTCTTATTTCAGAGTTATAAAACCAAAACAGTAAAAGTATTCAGGATCCAGGCAACTCATTAGAACCTTGAAATCCCACTGAGATCTGAAGAAGTCTATATAGACTACTTTGATGTTCATTTATTTGCATAACAAATGTAAATTCTTTTAAATAGTAATGGACCTCTGTGAGTATTTTTAATCAGTCTAGGAAATGCTTCAGGGTTTTTTTTCTTTTTGGAGACTCTGAATGAGGGGTTTTCTAAATTATGTTTGGTAGTGCACAAGACTCATGATTTAAATGTTTTTAAAGCAGAAGCCTCAGTTACAGTAACAAAAATACCACGATTTGGCACCAAGTGATATAGGCAAGATTTATTTCATGACAACATTTAAAAATATATGCCACTTGTTCACAGTCCTTGTAACAATGAACAGTAGCTTAGTGAAAAACACTTGAAAACCAAGCATGATGACATAGAGCAGCATCCATAGAATCCATCACCTATTTGAACATGTGAAATAAAGGAGATTTTCATAACCTGTGCAAAATAAGCTTTGTTTGTTGTTAGAGGTAGGAGCTAATAAAGAGGACCTAGATGGAGATCTTAATTTTAAGTAAACTTGTACCCTAATGATTAAACAAAAAAGTACCTTCTTAGTCAGACCACAGAATGGGTTGTTTCATTCTGTTCTGGTCTCTTATCATAAAGCTGTCCAAATGGAGCTCTTTTAATTAATGGCTACTTCTTCCTTATTTCATTCTTGCAGGGTACATGCAGCCTTGCTTTGGTGCAGACTGCCCAGCTCCTTTTTAGGTTTGCTTTGATTTCTGATCTCATATTAAATTATGTCTCAGTTAAAGGCATGAACATTGAAACTCTGTCCCAAACCAAATCCTGCTCATCCTTGTCCCATGTGCGAGATTGTATCTCCTGAGACAAACCTGCAGCTCATAGAGTCAGTAGCCACTACGAGGCCTCTCTTGCTTGATTTTGCACTTATAATCTTAAGTCAAGCTCCCTGTTGTGTAGCTAATGTGAACAAATTATGTCTCTCTGTTTGTTTGTTTTCTCTCTTCCCCATAGGTAAAATTAGTATTTTCAAAGGAACCTTCAAAGCCGATGGCTCCACGAATCTTACCAAATCCACTAGCAGCTGCAGCAGCAGCTGCCGCTGTGGGTGGGGAATAC